AGGCCCTGGGACTGGCAGGAAAGTGCCTGGCACCCGCCCCCTGCTGCCCCGCTAACAACCGCTTGGCCCTGCTGCTTCAGGCTTACAAGAGTGTGTGCGACATGGCCGAGGCGCGAAGCCGCCACCAGGAGCTTTGCATTCCCCTGTGTTTGGTGCCGGCCACCATTAGCAACAATGTCCCGGGCACGGAGATCAGCCTGGGCGCCGACACGGGCCTGAACGCCCTCGTGGAGGTAAGAGCACCCGCTCCTCCCGCCGCTCAGTTACGCTAACGAGGCGTTTCTTCTGCACCAAGAATGAGCCAGATTTATTATTACTCCTTCTTTCCCCCGTTAGCTTGACTTACGTGACACTGGCCGTAACAGGGTAAATTTTTAACTTCCGTCTCTGAGGGAGAGCTTGTCTTTATCGATTAAAAGTGAGATGACAGATCCCATCCTTGGGATGGTATTTCTGTCCCACCTCGGCTAGGGGAGCCTCGGGCGCCGTTTCTTGGGTGCCACCTCTCCTGCCCGAGCTGAGCAGCAAGGCTTGCAGCGCCGGGCACGGTGGGAGCGTGCAGGAAGGGCCGTGAGTGCCCGGTAAGTCCGAGCTCTGGGACAGAGCCATGCCCCCTGGGGGCCACTGCCTGGAAACAGCCTTCCTGGTGAAACGGGAGGCTCTTTAGGAGCTGAAATCACATCTGTTCTCCGCTTTTTGGCTAAGATCAAATGTGAGAGCTGAAATCAAACCCTCCTCCCACCCCCTGGGCAGGCGGTTTCACCAATGTGTGCTTTGGGAGGGGCGGACCCTGGGTCCACCTGGGTGTGGTGCTGACAGCTGCATGGTGGCACTGCGCTGACCCACTCTGTGGCAGTGCACTGGGCATGAGGACCTGTGGTAGTTCACGGGCCTTCGCTGCAGAGAGGGCCCTCGCTCAGCTGCCGACAGGACGGTGCCCATGCATGTGGGGGTCACGTCAGTGACTCAGCTGCCCGGTGCCTCCCAGACAGCAGCCGCTGCCTCTACCTTAGATACTCACGTCCAAGCCAGTGCCGGGGTTTGCAGTGAAAACTCAGTCCTGTTGGAGACTCCTTTGTTCAGCTTGGCACAGAACCTTGGAAAACAGCAGTTCTGCTCTGGGTTCTTCCTTGGCAGCTGAGTTCTGGTGCAGGGAAGGGAGTGGAGAGGCTGTGAGGGTGGCTGCAGCCTCCCACTGCAGCTGAGGGGTGTGTCCTGGCCATCTGAAGGGCGTGTCTGGGTGTCTCCCAGTGCTGTGGTGGCCTTGCAGAGGCTGGCCCAGTCTGTTCCCAGGGCATCCTTGGGTCCCGCCCTTGACCCCTGTGGAGAGAAGGTTGTTAGGGTCGGGGCACCGCTGGCTTTGCTCTCCTTTAGCACCTGGTAGACATCCACGCACGCATCCACCCTCACGCCCCGCACGTGACGTGGTACCACCTGAGCCGGCAGCTGCACCTTGCTGTGTGTTCCTTTCTGTGGCAGGGACGGGTCCCCCACTCCCTGCCCCATCTGGCCACTGACTTCAGCAGCGGCTCAGCTGCATGAGGGACACCCTCATAGGAAAACTGGCTCCCTGCAGATTCACAGAGCAAGGCGCTCCGCACAGGGAAGGCAGTGGCTTTTTTCTACCTCGACGCTGTAGCAAACGCCACCTTATCTTTTTACCAACAATTTATATTTCTTGACACCATGGAGCAAAGTGCTGATGAGGTTTGAACTGTAGCCGGGGGCCCGCCCACCGTCCCGTGGGAATTTCCTAGCAGGATGGCCTGTGTGCCCTTGCAGGGGGGTGGTGTTTGCCGGGCACATCCATCGTGCAGTGAAGATGGCTGGGGCTTGGGCTCTGGCTGACGGGTCCCACTACAGCTGCTGTCCAGGTGCTAGGCCCGGGACACAGCCCTCTGCCATCCTTCCTCCCACCCTGAGGCTGGGGAGGCACCTCCGGGTGACACTAAAGGCAGGCAGGGCCACGCTAGGGCTCAGCCTTCTTGTCAGTGCTACTTTGAATAATTGCCTGAGGCAAGGCTGGAGTGACTTGCTATTTTTAGAAGCTAATTCTGGCTTCAGATACCATCTAGGTAATGAGAGTTCAGGAAAGGTGTATCTAAGCTCCAGCAAAGGCCACCTCTTCTGTCCCAGCTGTCCAGCAGTGCAGGGTCAGGGGCGTGGCGCAGGCGGCAGGGCTGTGCTCTTCAGCACCCTGGTCGGCCATAGGCTGACGGGACCAGAACTCATGTGCTTGCTTGGGCACAAATCAGCCTCACGGGAGAGCTGCTTGGTCTGCAGAATTCTTCTACCGTTAAGCAGTCGGTGTCCTTCTTTGAATGAGGGACAATAATTCCCCACCTCAGGGTGGGCTGCAGGGGAAGACTGATTCAGTTGGAAAAATAACCCTTGAGGGCCAGGCACGGTGGCTCACGCCTGTAATCCCAGCACTTTGGGAGGCCGAGGCGGGCAGATCGGGAGCTCAGGAGTTCAAGACCAGCCTGATCAACATGGTGAAACTCCGTCTCTACTAAAAATACAAAAATTAGCTGCGCATAGTGGTAAACGCCTGTAATCCTAGCAACTCGGGAGGCTGAGGCAGGAGAATCACTTGAACCCCAGGAGGCAGAGGTAGCAGTGAGGAGATCGCGCCACTCCACTCCAGCCTGGCAACAGCAAGACTCCGTCTCAAGAAAGGAAAAAAAAGACCCATGCGGGTTTGTGCCTATGGGGGTCCTGACGTCCCACCCACGTTGTCCTTCCCACGCCCAGCATTCTCTAAAACAAAGGCCATGCGATGGGTTTTAAGTCAAGTCTGAGAACTTTACAGCATCTTAAGTTTTAGATCACATAGAGCGACCCAGTGCAGGTGGGACAGAACTCAGCACTGGCCATGCGGAGAGGCAGCTATGGGCTCTTCGGAGCCTTGATGGGTTTCTGTCTATCCCGCATAAGCACAGAGACGAGAATTCTTCCTTTTGCCTATTTCTCTTCCTATCTCGGCTTCTACACACGGCAAAGCTGCCCGCCAACCAGAGCCCATGTTCAATTTTGAATATGCCAACCAATTATTTTGAGAGGAAAAGAATCTGCCAAAGAAACTGGGAGCACAGATAGGAATGATGTCCTCAAGCCTGCACTTACTAATGAAAGAGCACTTTTCCGTTTTGTCTGACGCACTCAAGTGGAACTTTCCCAGTGGGTGCTCCGCTTTGGTGCACAGATGCTCACGTGGCTCCTAGTCTGAGGCCCACAGCCGCCTCTTCATGCTCTTCCTCTTGGCTGAGTACCACAGAGCAGGCTAGGGAATCCCACACCATCAGCCCTTGGGCGGGACAGCTGGCAGGGGAATACCGCACTTAGCAACAAGCATTTCTTCAGCGCCTGCTGTCGGGGGTGCGGCTGGTGCTGCTGGTGCAGCGTATGAGCCCAGCCCACAGTTCCCGCCCTCGTGGAATTTGCAGCCGAATGAGGAAAAGCCTCCCAAGTCAAGTAACCACATAGGCAGCTGCAGGGAGAGACACCTGGATGATGGAGAGACAGCATGGGGTGTCCTGAGAGCCCCGGACAGAGGGAACTTTGCCGTCCTGGAAACCAGGTGGTGTTTTCCTGAGGAAATGACATCTTTCTGGGTCAGAGCTGAGGAAGGTGCCTGTGTGTGTCCCGTGGCCGCTGTGGCACTGACCACACACCTGGGGCTGGAAAACATACTCAGTCCCACAGCTCTGGAGCCAAGAGCCATGTGCTGAGGCCTGACGGTTTGCTCCAGGAGTGTCCCTTGTGGCCTGTTGGGGTGCCCAGAGCTGCAGGCCTGCACGCCTTTTTCCCTGGCGCCACCTGCTCCCATGTGGGTGTGCAGCGCCCCACTCCGGGGCCCAGGGGCCTTCTGCTTCTGTGTCCCTCATCTGCAGATGCAGGTGATGGCATCGAGGGCCCACCTGGGCAGTCCTCGGGAGTCACTTTTCTCACCGCATAGGGGAACATTCGCAGGTTTCAGGGATTAGGAACCGGATTAATTTGGGGCCGCTCTCCCCCCACCACGGTGCGGGAATGTGACGCACACAGCGGCCAGCACCTGCAAAGGCCCTGGGAGGACCGGGTGCCAGGGGCAGGCGGCAACAGGGCTTCACGTGTTCTTGAAGTGAGCAAAGGATTTTGCACAAAGCCAGAACGGGGTCAGGTTTGTGTTTTTATAGTTGGGTCTCAGTTCTGTGTGAACAGATTGGAGAGTCCCCCACTGACGTGGGAGCCGAGGCCCGGCAGAGGCTTTGCAGTCCCTGGAGCGGGCGCTGCAGGCTGAGCTGGTGTGTGGGTGGGGAGGCGGCCAGTGCATTTCTCTGCTGTTTTTCTTCCCACTGAGCTTGGGTCCTCATGGAGGGCAGATGGCAGACATCTCACTCCGAGACCCGACGCCTGTGCATCTGGAAGACCTCCCCAAACACCTGGGTCTAAGAACCACATCTGCCCTTGAGTAGAGTTTCCATAAACATAACATTCATGGATTGATGGAAGATGGACACCACTCTAACAGCACAGGGAGCTTTTCAAAAGAAAATACAGTAGCACAGCAGTTTCCAGGGACATGCTGGAGAGGTGACACTCACTCCCCTGCCATCTCAGTTATCACCTAACGGTGTCTGCGTCCGGTGAAAGCTGCTTCAGCAGGGACGGTCACAGAGCAGCGTGGAGTGAGCTGGCTTGTGGGGTTGTTTCCCATCCCCTTATACAGGGCCTGGGAGAAGGGAGCGGCAGTTGGCCAGGCCCCTGCCATGGGTCATCAGGGTCATGTCCAGGTGGCTGCCATGGGGCGGGGTGGGGGGGCGGCTGGAGCACTGGAGCACGTTCACACCCACTCTGAGGGCACAACCTGGCCGCTGCACACCCTTCACCTCTGCGATGCCAGGACTGCATGCTCAGGCACGCTGAGGGACCTGGCTGCATTCATTTGCGGGGGGGCTCTGGGGTGGTGGGCCCACCCGGCCCTGGACTGGAGTGACTCCTCTCTCCTCTGTGACCAGACATGTGACCGCATCAAGCAGTCGGCCAGCGGGACCAAGCGGCGCGTCTTCATCATCGAGACTATGGGGGGCTACTGCGGCTACCTGGCCAACATGGGAGGGCTGGCGGCCGGCGCCGACGCCGCCTACATTTTCGAGGAGCCCTTCGACATCAGGGACCTGCAGGTATGCGATGGGGCTGGCCTGGGGACCACACCCGTGGGACCACTCAGTGCTGCCGCGTCATCACGCTTAGGATGGTTTGCTTTCCGAGGGGCACGTGGATGGAGGCGGCACTCCGCAGGGTCCGGGTGCCTCGACCGTGTGGGTGATGGCGGAGACACCCGGTTAAGGACACCTTCTGCCTGTGTGTGTGAAACACAAGCTTGTTCCTTTTGTCTGCAAATAAGTGATATAGTCTGTTGTGTCAGGTTCTGTCATTGTGTCACAATTTGAGAGCCTCCACCGACAGTCACCACACGTCGGCAACTGGCTCTGAAAGCTGCTGCAGCTTCTGTCAAATCCTGAGGCCTCTGACTCTGCGCCTGCCTCTAAACTGACAGAGGCGGCCACGGTTTCTTGGTGTCTGTGGCTCTTTCAGGGAACGGTGGTTCAGCCATGTGCGGCTTCCGACTCAGTTCCCCCACCCAGGCGTGGCCAGAGCCCCAGGGGGAGGCTACACCAAGGAAGGTGCGGTGGGTGTCCGGGCAGCCGGGGAACCTCAGCACGCACAGCGCGTGCCGTGGGTGCGTGGGGAGACCGGGCCGTGTCCAAGGAGCCGGGGAGCCTCAGCACGCACAGCACGCGCCGTGGATGTGTGGGGAGGCCGGGCCGTGTCCAGGGAGCCGGGGAGCCTCAGCACGCACAGCGCGCGCCGTGGGTGCGTGGGGAGACCGAGCCTGGTCCCTGTTGCCGACCCTGGGGTCTGCCCCTGCTTAGACGGCACAGCGGAATTCAGGCCTGGACCCTGCAATGTTCCAAGTTGCTAACTCTGTGCAGGACAGGCCTTGACAGATGAGATGCAACTTCAACAACTGTCTTTTGAAAAACTAGGTGGTTACCTGTTTCTGAGCCAAACAGATCAAGTAAAAAGGGCCTCGGTGTTGTCACTGATTACGTGACACATGAGTCACAAACCTCTCCCCCGCGTGAAATGAAGTAGTTGTGGTCATTCACTGCAACACGATGTTTCAGCGGTGGGTCCCTTAAGATTATGATGGAGCTGCCCCAGACGGGTACAGTTTTTAATCTTTTATAAAAAGCTGTTTTTGACTGTACTTCTCTGTGCCTAGACATGTTTATATACACAAATCCTAGCCATTGTGTTACAACTGCCTGCAGTATTCAGCAGTCCCAGACATTTAGGTTTGCAGCCAGAACAGCAGGCCGCCCCACAGCCCCAGTGTGCAGCAGACTCTGCTCCTGGGTTTGTGTAAATTCACTCTAGGATGTATGCACAGGGATTAAATCACCTAGCAATGCATTTCTCAGGAAATATCCCTGTTACGTGACACAAGACTGTATTTCAGAAATCTATCCAAAGATCATGCCTCACCAGCACTTAGCATGGCAAATGCTTAATTTACTTTTTTTTTTTTTTTTGAGATTGAGTCTTGCTCTGTCACACAGGCTAGAGTGCAGGGGACACAATCTCAGCTCAGTGCAACCTCCGCCTCCCTGGTTCAAGTAATTCTCTTGCCTCAGCTTCCCAAGTAGCTGAGACTACAGGTCTGTGCCACCACGCCTGGCTGATTTTTGTATTTTTAGTAGAGATGTGGTTTTAGCATGTTGGCCAGGCTGGTCTCAAACTCCTGACCTCAGATGATCTGCTCGCCTCAGCCTCCCAAAATGCTGGGATTACAAGCATGAGCCACTGGGCCCGGTGACAGATTTGATTAGATGTAAAAATCTCCATTTTCTTAGGATGAGTCATTAGAAAATCACCTCCCAACATGATCTGAAATAGAATGTTTTTACACTTTTCTGTTCTCAAGACAACCTTCTTTTCCTTAAACAATTTGTGTACGAATGTGAGCATGTAAAATTCTTCCTTGGGCCAAAACCGTTCATTAGGCTGTCATCTGAGAGTTCACAGAAAGGCTGGCCCCAGGTGGTTATTTCCCTGAGAACTCCAAGACAACAGCATCCTGAAAAAAAGGAGCGAGGCATGAGTGTTAGGCAAATGCACGGAATTCTCCTGCTAAGAGGGACGCTGTTGATTCCGGAAGGTGTTTCTAACCACCCCCGTGAGGGCTGCTGGCCACGCCCAGTCCTCAGCTCTCATCCCTGTGGGTGCGCTCTCCCTGCCTCGGGGAGGTTCCCCAAGACCTGAGCCACGAGAGCCACAGCCGCCTCCACCACACTCGGTCAGCACTTCTTGCCCTGTAGTGCCTGGCACACAGTAGGTGCTTAGAAGCTTATTATCTGATTAATACAATGCTCTTTTCCAGTCCAACGTGGAGCACCTGACGGAGAAAATGAAGACCACCATCCAGAGGGGCCTTGTCCTCAGGTGAGTGAGACCAGGGCTGACCTCACCCGCACCGCCACACCCTGGCTCCTAGGTGCTAGGCTGTGACTTAGTCTGGAGGAGGGGTCGTTTCTTTGCTGCTGGAGTGCACTACACACACTGAGCGATCCGGAAGTCATGGTGCCTTGCTCTAAATACTTGCCTGCCTTTAGACAACTAAAGGGTGATTTTAAACGTATTTTTGCTTTGTAGTCTTATTCTTTTAGGTAACTCACAATCATTTCCCTAATTAGCACCTGACGTTTATGAAGGAAGGAGGAAATGCAGTCAGGGAATGTGTCCCAAGACCCCAGTGGGTGCCTGAGCCTGGGGCTAGTACCTGCCTCCCATATACACGAGGGTTCTTCCATCTGATGCCCAAGGTGGCTACTGAGTGACTCGGGCAGGAGGCACAGTCAGTGTGGAGACGGGAAGACACAGGGATGATTTACATACTGGGTGGGCCAGAGCAAGACAGCACGAGATTTCATCATACCACTCAGAATGGTGTGCAGTTTAAAACTTACATATTTATTTCTGGAGTTTTCCATTTAATATTTTTGGACTTTAGTGGAACACTTGACCATGGGAACTGAAACTGCAGAATGCAAAGCCTTGGATTGGAGGGACAAGTGTTGATGTAGTCACAGCAGGGCCAGGGGACGAGGGAAGCCAGCCTCCCAGGGCCATGCCCCACCAGCAGGGAGCTGCACACTTACAAATGGCTCATTCCTACTCGTTTCAGAAATGAGAGCTGCAGCGAAAACTACACCACCGACTTCATTTACCAGCTCTATTCGGAAGAGGGCAAGGGGGTGTTCGACTGCAGGAAGAATGTGCTGGGTCACATGCAGCAGGTGAGCCCGAGACCCCGGTGAGGGGCCTGCAAAGCCACTGTCACGTCATTTTTACAAGCTTAATGTCTTATTTTAGCCATTTTGGGGGGGAAACGTGTATCTACAAGTAAATTTCGAGATAAAAATCAGCTGAACTTTTTGAGATGGAATCTCACTCAGGCAGGAGTGAGTGGTGCAATCTTGGCTCACTGCAGCCTCCACTTTCCAAGTTCAAGCAATTCTCCTGCCTCAGCCTCCCAAGTAGCTGGGAGTACAGGCATTCACCACCATGCCCGGCTAGTTTTTGTATTTTTAGTAGAGATAGGGTTTCACCATGTTAGCGAGGCTGGTCTTGAACTCCTCACCTCGGGTGATTCACCTGCCTCAGCCTCCCAAAGTGCTGGGATTAAAGGTGTGAGCCATCGCGCCCTGCCAAGACAGTCACCAGCTTTAGGATTCTTGTTTTTGTGAGGTTTGAGTAACGGGGATTTTAACTGTCAACTTTCATGTAAAGTGTGATACCCTCTTACCTGGAAATGCTTATTCAAATTAAACACTTGAACAAATTAAAAATTGGAGCTTCCTAAGATTTAAAATGGATTGTCAGACTTGAGTCTGTTAAAAAAGAGAAATGACAACTTTTATTTCACAGAAACCATGTTTTTAAACAGCAAAGTGTTACTGTGTAACTGATACTTCATATAATTCTAACCACCAACAGGGTGGAGCACCCTCTCCATTTGATAGAAACTTTGGAACCAAAATCTCTGCCAGAGCCATGGAGTGGATCACTGCGAAGCTCAAGGAGGCCCGGGGCAGAGGTATGGGGGCCGGGGAGGGAGGCCACAGCCCACGTCGTATCTCAGTGTTGCGGTAACATCAGCTTGGTCATGATGTGTTTTGTGCAGGCTTTTTGCTTTTGCTCTGCAGATCCTGAACATTTGCCAGCAAATTTCTCCTCTAGTCCTGGGATCTGCCTCATAGTTGAAGTGGGGCTATTTTTTGGATGTTTGGTAGGACAACCTCCCTGTGAATCCATTCATTAAAACTTCCAGTTTTCTTTGAGGAAGATTTAACTGCTGAATGAATTTTTCATGTTTATAGAACTATGCATGTTTTTACTTGAATCAGTTTTATAAGTTACATATTCTAAGAAATCTTCAAAAAAAAACATGGCATTTTGTTTTGTTTGAGACAAAGTCTTGCTCTGTTGCCCAGGCTGGAGTGCAGTGGTGTGATATCTGCTCACTGCAACTGCTGCTTCCTGGGTTTGAGCGATTCTCCTGCCTCAGCCTAAGTAGCTAGAATTACAGGTGCCCACCCATACACCTGGCTGATTTTTGTATTTTTAGTAGAGATGGGGTTCCACCATGTTGGCCAGGCTGGTCCTGAATCGACCTCAGGTGATCTGCCTGCCTCGGCCCCCCAATGCTGGGCGTGCAGGCTTGAGCCCCTGTGCCCGGCCCCCACTCACTCTTGAGCATGGCTGTCTGTGCCAACATCTCTCTCCCCTACCTCTCGGCTTGCTTCATCAGTCACACCAGATGTGTGCTTTCATTACGGCAAGGCGTTTATCTCACTTCAGTGTCCAACTTAGGGAAATGACAGTCCACAAAAAACAGTGATGTGAAGAGTTTCAATCAGTTTGTCTTTTTGAAGAACTGACTCTGGCTTCAATTCTTTGTACATCAACTTCCACTTTTTGGATTTTCTTCTTTTGCAAATTTGTGGATGTTTCTGTGTGTATTCATGAGTATAACTTTCTTAACGTTTTCCTGTAATTTAACCTAATTTTCCTATTCCGCTATTCAGTGAAAAATGTATTTACCTCCACTGGGAGAAAAAACAAAAGCTCCTTTCCAGGAAGCCCTCTCTGGGGTGGCTGAAGTACTAGTGAGGGGCGGGGGGAAGCTGTCACGATGGTCCCCTCTCCCAGCCCTGCACGGGCTGAGCTGGGCAAGCCTGGGGTGGACGCTGCGGGCTGCTGTTGGTCTCAGCGGGGCTTCGTCTACCTTCACAGCATGGTTTGAGGAATCTCAGTTCTCATCTTGCCTCGTGATTCTGCTCCCCCACCTGCCCAGGTGATAGGGTGTTATTACATCTTTTTTTTTAAACTTTTATAGGGAAAAAATTTACCACCGATGATTCTGTTTGCGTGCTGGGAATAAGCAAAAGAAACGTCATTTTTCAGCCTGTGGCAGAGCTGAAGAAGGAAACAGATTTTGAGTAAGTCTGGGTCTTACTGCCTTAGAGAGCCCAACTGACCTGAGTGCAGGGCAGGGAACGGCCGTCGCTGTCAGCACTCAGTCAGGGCTGTGAGAAAATGGCTTTTCTGAAGCTGGGTTAAATACTAGGTCTTTAGAAAGAGGGAAGAGTTTTTAGGAATATAAAAATGGTTTCATTTGACCCTGAAATCGGCTTTATCATCCAGTTGATTCTGCTGACCCTACAACCCCCCGCCTGTCTGGCGAGACGGCGCAGGGCAGGCAGAGGTGTCTCCCAGGCACCTGTAGGGCTCACTGCCGCCTCTGCTTCCCTCCCAGGCACAGGATTCCCAAAGAACAGTGGTGGCTGAAGCTTCGGCCCCTCATGAAGATCCTGGCCAAGTACAAGGCGAGCTACGACGTGTCGGACTCGGGCCAGCTGGAGCACGTGCAGCCCTGGAGCGTCTGACTCGGCCCTGCCTGCCTCTGCCTGGCTTCACCATGGACCGTCCGTTTTTGTAACATTTAAGTTATTTATCAGCACTTTATTGCAAGTATTATTAATCCCTAATCAGCAAGCACCTGTCACTGCCCACGTCCCCCTCAGAGCCAGTGCGTGCTGTCTGTGGACTGTGCCTCATGCTTTCAGATGTGCGTATCAGCAGAATTAAACGTTTGCCTACAGCTGCAGCAGTCCTCCGTTTTAGTTTTTTAAGCAGATTAAAAATATTTTGCTCATCTTTGCCCACAAAACTGTAGCTACCCAAAGACTGAGATTTTAAAGGGCTCGCTGAACTATGCACAAGTCATAAAAGAACAAAGCTAGTAGTTTGACACGTGGCATTTCCATCCACAGCAGCAGGCCTGCACCCCAGGTGCCTGCACTCTTGAAAGTAAAAAACCAGGAAGCTTATCCACTCACCCTCGACTGCGATCCTAGTTACATATTAAAACCACCGAGGGAGGGTGGCGGTTAAAAAATCTGATCGCCAGCTTCTCCTCCAGGCCAAGCCACAGTCCTCACTGGAACCTGGGTTGGAACTCTCCTGACTCTTGCCAGAGTAGACACAGCTGTCGGGGGGACAGCCCCCCTCCTGTAGGGACAGCGTTTCTGCCTCTTAGATCTAGTCTGCAACAGATAACAGCGTTGTGGAGTAGATGCCAAAAACACATGGCATTGGGGAAATCAGTCCAAGAGCTGGCGCAGAGGCTTACCTTTCCGTGTCTGTGCAGCCGAGGCGAGCACTTACTCACCCCAACTCCCCTGCTCTTCAGAATGGTTTCCATCCGGCCGCCCTACTGCACGCCCGTCTGTTAGGCAGATGCTCCTGCAGGTCCTCGGTGTGGCTGCGGTCCACTGATCAGCACAGGCAGGTGGGATGGCCGTGGGCAGCTTTTCACTTCACTCCTACATTTAATAAAGGCCCTAAATGCTAATTAAAATGATTCAAGCACAGTTTAAGTCAGAGTTGCCCTTTATTTTCAGATACCTAAATAAATATTCTAGGGTTAATCAGGCAAAGTAAGCCTTTCTGTCGCAACAGAGCTAAAGTTCTACGTAGCACATCTTCGGCGTTTCATGCATGATTATTTGAATGAATCTTCGTGGTCACTCTTAAGATAGATGAGTTTTTATCTGACTTGCCAGTCAATGGCTTTGGCAAAATTTTAAGAATGACATCGTATTCTTGGAAAAAGCAGTAACATTTCTGCCTTTTCCAATTCGGCTCAGAGGCTCCCTTTCTCAGCGCCTGTGTGTGCAGCACACCTGAGCTCCTGCGCTGTCAGGGGCTCCACGGCTGCTCAACTGATGATCCAGGATGGGTCCTTGGCGATTTTTGCATTCTCTGGTCCAAGTATGGCCAGGCCATGTGTGCTCTTCCCCGTGCCAAGGTACCTGAGAGGAAGGCGTGGTCAGCGTGTGAAAGGACGCCCAGGCCTCAAATCCAGGTGCCATCTCTCCTGCTCCCAACTCACCTGTCGCTCACGGCCAGGAGCGTGTCACGGCTGACGGCGAAGAGCTGCTCCCTGTGGGTCTGCTTCATCTCATCGGAGAGGCCGGACAGGAAGTGGTCCATTCCTAGAAGACAAAGCACAGGCACCATGAAGCTGCCGCCCATGAGCGGTGGGCTGTGCACTCGGGTCCTGGAGGAGACACGGGCATCTCACTGTTACTTCATGTGGACACATTTCAACCATGGGAACATGTCTAACAGATAAGAGATCACACCCCGACCTCCAGCTCCCACAAGCCACGCTGACCCTACCAACTCCTGCTTCTGCAGCATGGACGAAGTCAGGGCCACGTGAGGTTGATGATGCTGTGAGCAGAAGTGGCTCTGCAGAGTAACGTGGCCATGCCCATGTACCCCTTCCACGCTAATGAGCCAGAACACTGGCGTGGGCGGGCCCCACCGGGCCTCAGCTGAGTAAAACTGAAATGGCTGCAGGCACTTTTCTTGCCTGGATGTTGGGAAGTGTTTCAAGCCCCACGTTTAGGGTGATAGACGTGGAAATCGCATCACAAGCAAGGACGAGGATGGCAGAAGCTGCTGCGCCTGCCCGTGCACGTGGGGACTCGGAAAACGGCAGTGCCATCTGTGCGGCCGTGGGTTGAGATTCCCGCTGTTACACCCAGAATACCTTTGTCAGAAGGAGCGACAGGAGCGTCTACGGTCGAGAAGACAGAAAGTTTGGCTTCATCGATGTCTTGCTGTGTGAATTTTCCCGACTTAGCCCAGTCAACAGCCTTCCCAAAAGACTGGAGCGTCTCCATTGTATTTGGGTCCCTAGGAAACCCAGAGAAATACAGTCAAGCACTTTACCAGAGGACAAGTTAATCACAACCCTCTGTCAACAGCTGAACATCTCCTGTGTGAACAGCTCTATGTTACACATTACAGTCCAAACAGCCCACTGACAAATTGCTTAATTACTCTCAATGGAAATTTAAATCCGATCACATAAGGCTTTCAACACGTTCTCCCTCTAATTAAGACGAGGTCCGTCTGCACAACATTCTCCCAGATTATTTCAATACACCCTTGTGACCTCATCGGGAGAGGAAAGTGGAAAGTCCAGGGTGGGGGCAGGTCAGGATTACAAGGAAATTACAGAAGACTCAAGTGGAAAAATTACACTAAGGTTGTCCTTTCCTCTCCCTTAAGAAATACCCAGGATAGTCCAGGAATCAGCCTGAGGAGCCAATCCAGACTTCCCTCTGTGTAAGCGTTAAGAGCCCCACCCACCGTCCCTTCGCCCTGATTCAGAGCTGCAGAGGGGCTGTGAGCTACTTCCCCATTCTTGTCTAGAAGTGTGGCTTCCAGCCCGGCAACACAGCCAGAGGGAGAGCTCCTCAGAGAGGCAGTGGTTGCCACCTATCTACCTGCATGTCTGCCTGCCTGCCTCATCTACCTATGCATCCAGGAGCCGGGGTCTCACTGTCACCCAGGCTGGCACGCAGTGGTACATCTTGGCTCACTGCAGCTTCAATCTCCGTGGGCTCAAATGATCCTCCAGCCTTAGCCTCTTGTGGCTAGGACAACAGACACTTGCCACCACGGCTGGCCAGCTTCTTACAGTGTTAGAATACACCTTCTCTTGGGCAGCAGAGCCATAGAATATCAGGAATTTAGTTTTTTGAGTAACAGTGTTACGTTTATGAAAGCTAAAGAGAACAGCATCCACATCAGGCACCTACAACTGAAATAAGAATGCTCTCCCACTGTATCGCAGCCCCATCAACTAGGGCCTGTTCCAGTACCTCAGGGGAGGGCTGCCGCCGCCTCTGACGGTGCTGAGTCCTATGGATACTATGTTCCCAGGGCAGGGCTGCATCCTCCTCAGACAGTGCTGAGCCCTATGGATATTATGGTTTTTTTTTTTTTTCCTATATCTTTGTTAAAATTTACAAATTAAGTGCAGCAAGGTATTAACAAAATTCAACAATTATAATGTAATAAATGGTATGGTGATGAGCTACTATTAACTAAAACAAGGGTTTTTTGAACATAAGCTCTCACCTGACAGTGTATCTGACCTCTACGGCTACTGGTGACCCACAGGCAGGTAGTGTAGACAGTGTGAGATTTCATCCCACTGCTTCGAAGAATGGGTGTGCCATTTAAAACTGAGGAAGTATTTATGTCTGGAATTTTCCATTTAATATGTCCAGACTGAGGGTAACTGTGGGCACGGAACTGCGGAAAGCAAAACCATGGATGGAGGCACTACTGTGTTCTGCCGAAATTTGCTGCTTACACCAAGCCAGGGTTACTCAAGGAGAATGCTTCCTGTTTAGGCTGCTGCCCTAATCCTTGTACCAGAAGGACCCTGTGCGTCTGGCTAAGTGCTCAACAAGCAAAAGGAAACAAACAGAAGAACTTTTCTTTTTCTAAGGTTCACTGCAGTAGAAGAAAATGACAGATAATCCCCAGTAGAAGACTACAGGTAAACGGATGTGTGCACCCAAATGTGTGGGACAGAGAAAACCTCACCTGTAAGAGTAAAAGGTGAAAATCCCATTGTGGCTGAGTTTTGCACCTCCAGCATAAGCACCACCTTTTTCTCGAATTTCTGTATGCAGGAACTTAGCAGTCATCAAACATGCAAGAATTTTAAGACTGAAATGAATGATTAGAAAATGTAAGTTAAAAACATGTCTGATAAAAAAGCATATGCAGTGAAACAATTATTGGAGTAAGTGAAAATGGAAATAATCTCAATTTGTAAAGTAATGCCATATAAATTATGGTCCCCTATTTTGGTCTTGTTTTTTACAAGATGGGAGTCTCGCTGTCTCCAGGCTGGAGTGCACCGGTGCAGTCACAGCTCATTGCAGCCTTGAACTCCTGGGCTCAAGGGATTCCCCTCTCCCCAGTCTCCTGAGTAGCTGGGACTGCAGGTGCGTGCCACCAAGCCTGGCTATTTTTACATATTTTGTAGAGGCAGGGTCTAGCTTTGTTGCCCAGGCTGGTCTCAAACTCCTGGCTTCAAGCAATCTTTCTGCCTGGAAACGTGCTGGGATTACAGGCATGGGATTTTTTTTTTTTAATTACCAAAACTAAAAACCACAAGGAAGCACAATTTTCAAAGAGTGGGCTTAGATTACAGGGTTGAAGTGAGAGGTGATGGGGAGGGAATCTGAACATTCCAGCATCACTGCTTCATTTGTTCCAATGTATATGCGGCATTTTAAAATCTGATCAAGTAGAAAGAGGTTATTTCTACTGTAAAAGCAAATGTGCAAATGAACGTTTATTTAAATGTCTCACATTAGAATACGGAAAAAAAGGAAAGTTAAGTCAGAGTTTTATAGGAATCCCTTAAGAAAACACACACTCTCCGCTAAAGCTCATTTCTAGGAATGAGGCTGATTTCCTTTGCCTTCCACTGTGAATGGGAGTATCACATTCCAGATGACTCCAGAATGCATCCACCTTCGACAGAACGCAGAGCCATGCCTGCCACTGCAGGGCAGTCAATGATGGTAGCGTCTGCAGTAGACACAGGCTCCTCAAAGATGCCTATGGCTAGATCAGCCCCAGGTCCCTGCTTCCAGAGACACGCCTTTTCCCAAAGCAGATGAAGGGGGTCAAACAGGCCAGGTGGGAAATGGAGGAAGCAGTGGGCGTGTTCCCAGCGGCTGTGGTAGGAGAAGTCACGACCATCTAGTGTGGGTCCACCAG